CAGCTTTAGAATTCTAACATTTCCCTGGCAGATTGATTTCTTCATCTTAATGAAACATCCCATTTTTTTCAATGCAGTCAAGCTTCTTGCCCTAAAGCCTAGTTTGTTATAGCAGCTTTCATTTCTTTTTTCATCAGCTTTATTAGGGAAGCCACCACCATAACCACTAGGCAGAGTAATTTCATCACCCGGAAGTCTCCTAGTGCCTATTAGGAGTTATTCTGTTGCCCCTCAATATGCACTCCTGGCACCAATCGATCTGCTTTTAGCTTTCCTAACATCTAATGTAAGTGGAATCCTATGATATGTAGACTTTACCATCTCCTTTTGTTGATTTATCATGATGTATTTGAGATTCACCATGTTTTTGTGGATCTCAGTTATTTGTTCTTTTCCATTGCTAAATAATATCTTTTGGTATTGATGGGACACAAATTTTGCCAGATTTGATCTTTCAAACTGGTTCTGTGTCATGTTGCCATGTTCTCAACATTCTTTGATCATTTCCTTTCTTTCTGGCAAAACAAGACATTCTTGGCTCATTTTATACTTCTCCAACCCAGCTGTATATTCTTTCTTTTTTTGAGACAAGGTCTCACTGTGTCACCCAATTTGGAGTGCAGTGGCATGATCATGGCTCACTTCAGCCTCAACCTCCTATGCTTAAGTAATTTTCCCACTTCAGCCTCCTGAGTAGTTGGGACTACAGGCCTATGTCACCATGCCCAGCTAATTTTTTATATAGATAGCATTTTGCCATGTGCTCATGTTAGCCTCAAACTCTTGGGCTCGAGGATTTCTCCTGCCTCAGCCTCCCAAAATGCCGAGATTACAGGCATGAGCCACTGCACCTGTGCCTTCTTGTTTTTTCTTTTTTAACCTTTATTTTAAGTTCAGGGAAACATGTGCAGGTTTGCTATATAGATAAAGTGTGTGTCATAGGGGTTTGATGTAGATTATTTCATCACCCAGGTAATAAGCCCAGCACTTGATACATAGTTTTTTGATTCCCCTCCCTCCTTTTACTCTCCACCTTCAAGTAGGCCCTGGTGTCTGTGTTCACTTCTTTGTGTCTGTGTGTACCAAGTGTTTAGCTCCTACTTATAAGTGAGAACACACAGTATTTGGTTTTCTGTTTCTGCATTAGTTGCCTAGGTTATTGGCCTCCAGCTCCATCCATGTTCCTACAAAGGACATAATCACATTATTTTTCATCATTGCATAGTATTCTGGGTGTATATGTACCACATTTTCTTTAAGCACTCTACATTGTTGGGCATTTAAGTTGATTCCATGTCTTTGCTATTGTGAATACTGCTGTGATTAACACACTAATGCATGTGACTTTATGGTAGAATGATACATATTTCTTTGCATATACACCCAATAATGGGATTGCTGGATCAAATGAAAATTCTGTTTTGCGCTCTTTGAGAAGTTGTGAAACTGATTTCCACAATGGCTGAACAAACTTACATTCCCTCCAGTAATGTCTAAGCATTCCCTTTTACCTGAAATCTTGCCAGCATTTCTTATTTTTTGACTTTTTAATAAAAGCCATTCTGACTGGTGCGAGATGGTATTTCTTTGCAGTTTGGTTTGCAGTAGTGATGTTGAGCATTTTTTTCATAAGCTTGTTGGCCACATGTATGTTTTCCTTTAAACACCATTCATTAAAGTCCTTTGCCTACTTTTCAATGGGGTTGTTTGGTTTTTGCTTGTTAATTTGTTTATATTTCTTACAGATTCTGGATATTAGACCTTTATTGGATACACAATTTGCAAATATTTTCTCCCATTTTGTACTGCCTTTTTATTCTGTTTACAGTTTCTTTTGGTGTGCAGAAGTTCTTTAGCTTAATTAGGTCCCATCTGTGCACTTTTATTTTTGTTGCAATTGCTTTTGGCTACTTCCTCATGAAATCTTTGCCAGGGCCTATGTCCAGAATAGTAGCTCCCAGATTATCTTCCAGGTTTTTAAAATATATATATAGTTTTAGGTTTTACATTTAAGTCTTTCACACATCTTGAGTTGATTTTTGTATATGGTGTAAAAAAAGGGAAGCATCCAGCTTCAGTCTTGTGCATATGCTTAGATATACACAATATCATTTACTGAATACAGAGTCATTTCCCCATTTCTTGTTTTGTCAACTTGTCAAGGATCAGATGGTTGTAGGTGTGCAGCATTATTTCTGAGCTCTCTATTCTGTGCCATTCATGTATGTGTCTGTTTTTGTACTAGTATCTCGCTGTTTTGTTTACTACAGCCTTGTAGCATAGATTGAAGTCACATAATGTGATGCCTCCAGCTTTATTCTTTTGTTTGTTTATTTGTTTTGTTATGTTTATTTGCTCTGTCACCCAGGCTGGAGTGCAGTGGCATGATCTTGGCTCACTGCAACCTCCACCTCCCAGGTTCAAATGATTCTCCTACCTCAGCGTCCTGAGTAGCTGGGATTACAGGCCCCCACCACCACACCCAGCTAATTTTTGTAGTTTTTAGTAGAGATAGAGTTTCACCAGTCTGGTCTCAAACTCTTAACCTCAGATGATCTGCCTCCCTCAGCCTTCCAAAGTGCTGGGATTACAGGCATGAGCCACTGTGCCCAGCTCCAGCTTTATTCTTTTTGCTCAGGGTTGCCTTAGCTGTTCAAGCTCTTTTTTGGTTACATATGAATTTTAAAACAGCCTTTTCTAATTTTCTGAAGAATATCACTGGTAATTTGATAGAAATAGCATTGAATCTACAAAACCGCTTTGTGTACTATGGCCATTTTAATAAAAATGATTGTTCCTATTCTTGAGCATGGAATGTTTTCTCATTTGTTTGTATTATCTCTGATTTCTTTGAGCAGTGCTGTGTAATTTTTGCTGTAGAGAACTTCCAGCTCCCTAATTAGCTGTATTCCGAGGTATATATTTTTTCTTTTTTTGGCTATTGTGAATGAGATTGCATTCCTGATTTGGCTCCCAATTTGAATGTTGGTGTATAGAAATGCTATTAATTTTGTATATCAATTTTGTATCTTGAAACTAAATAAATTGTTTATTAGATGTAGAAGCTTTTGGGCAGAGACTATGGGGTTTTCTAGGTATAAAATCATATTGTCTGCAAACAGAGATAATTTAACTTCCTCTTTTCTTATTTGGATGCCTTTCATTTCTTTCTGTTGCCTGATGGCTCTGTCTGGAACTTCCAGTATTATGTCAAATAGGAGTGATGAGCATGAGTATCCTAAACTTGTTCCAGTTCTCAAGGAGAATGAGTCCAGCTTTTGCCCATTCAGAATGATATTGGCTGTAGGTTTTCCATATACAGTTCTCAATATTTTGAGGTGTGTTCCTTCAATATCTAGCTTATTGAGGAGTTTTAACATGAAGCGATGTTCAATTGTATTGAAAGCCTTTTCTGTATCTATTGCAATAATCATTTGCTTTTTGTTTTTAGTTCTGTTTATGTGGTTAATCATTTATTGGTTTGCATATGTTGAACCAACTTTGCATTCCAGGATAAAAGCCTACTTGATTGTGATAGATTAGCTTTCCAATTTGCTGCTGGATTCAGTTTCCTAGTATTTTGTTGGGATTTTTTGCTTCTGTGTTCATCAAGGATATTGGCCTGAAGTTTTCTTTTTTGTTGTTGTTGCTTCTCTGCAAGGTTTTTATATTAGGATGATGCTGGCCTCATAGAATGAGTTAGGGAGGATTTCCTCCTGCTCGATTTTTTGGAAGAGTTTCAGTAGGAATGGTACCAGTTCTTCTTTGTACATTTGGTAGAATTTGGCTGTGAATTCATCTGGTCCTGGATCTTTACTATTTGGTAGTATTTTTGTTGCTGACTGAATTTCAGAACTCATGATTGGTCAGTTCAGGGGTTCAATTTCTTCCTGGTTCAATCTTAGGAGGTTGTATGTTTCCAGGAATGTATCTGTTTCTCCTAGGTTTTCTAGTTTGTGTGCATAGAGGTACTTATAGTAGCCTCTGAAGAATTGTTTGTATTTCTGTGAGGTCAGTGTTAATGTCCCATTAGTCATTTCTGTTTGCATTTATTGCAATCTTCTCTCTTTCTTTTTTTAATCAATCTTATTTATTTTTTCAAATAACCATCTTTTGTTTTTGCTGATTTTTGGTATTTTTTAAAATCCATTTTCCTTCAGTTTAGCTATATTTGTGTTATTTTTTATCTTCTGCTAGCTTTGTGGTTGATTTTCTCCTGTTCCTCTATTTCCTCTAGGTATAATGTTAGGTTGTTAATTTGAGATCCTTCTGACATTTTCCATGTGGACATTTAGTGCTGTAAACTCTCCTAACACTGTTTTAGCTCTGTCCCAGAGATTCTGGTACGTTGTATCTTTGTTCTTGTTAGTTTCAAAGAATTTCTTGATTTCTGCCTTAATTTCATTGTTTATCCAAAAGTAATTCAGGAGCAGTTTGTTTTATTTCCATGGAATTATATAGTTTTGAGTAATTTTCTTAGTATTGATTTCTATTTTTATTGCACTGTGGTCTGAGAGTATATTTGGTATGATTTTGTGTTGTTTTAATTTGCTGAGAATTGTTTTATGGTTAACTGCATGGACAATTTTAGAGTATGTACCATGTGCAGATGAGAAGAATGTATATTCTGTTGCTTTTGGGTGAAGAGTTCTGTAAAGGTCTAGCAGATCAATTTGTTCCAATGTTGAGTTTAGGTCCTGAGTATCTTTGTTGATTTCCTGCCTCTATGATCTGTCTAATATTGTCAGTGGAGTGTTGAAATATCCCACTATTATTATGTGAGAGCCTATGTCTCTTTGTAGGTCTCTAAGAATTTGCTTTATTAATTTGAGTGCTCCTTTGTTGCATGCATATGTATTTAGGATAGTCAGGTCTTCTTGTTGAATTGAACTTTTTACCATTGGTTAATGGCCTTTTTTATCTTTTCAATTATTGTTGGTTTAAATTCTCTTTTGTGATAGGCTGATTGCAAGCTGGGGAAAAAAGAAGCCAGTAGTGGCTCAGTCTGAGTCCAAAAGCCTCAAAAGCAGGGAAGCTGACAGTGTAGCCTTCAGTTTGTTGCTGAAGGCCTGAAAGGCCTTGACAAATCACTGGTGTAAGTTCAAGAATCCAAAGGTCAAAGAACCTTAAGTCTGGTGTCCAAGGGCAGGAGGACTGGAAGGAAGCATTAAGCACAGGAGAAAGATGAAAACCACAAGACTCAGTAAGTTGACTTATCCCACCTTCTTTTGCCTGTCTTGTTCTAGCCATGCTGGCAGCTGATTGGATGGTGCCCATTCACATTGAGGGTGGGTCTTCCTTTCCTGGTCCACTGACTCAATTGTCAGTCTCCTCTGGTGACACCCTCACAGACAGACCCGGAAACAATACTTTACCAGCTATTTAGGCATCCATCAATCCAACCAAATTGACACCTAAGATTAACCATCTCAGTGTCATTGAATTTGAGATGGGTACCTTGTAGATAGCATGCATTTGGGCCTTGCTCCTTTATCCAACTGTGCCTTTTAATTGGGATATTTAGCCCATTTTTCATTCAAGGTTAATTTTGATATATGTGGATTTGATCTTATCAATACAATAGGTTGTTAGCTAATTATTCTGCAGACTTGATTATGTATTTCCTTTATAGTGTCAATGGTCTATGTATTTAAGTGTGTTTTTGTGATGGCCAGTAATGGTCTTTTCATTCCATATTTAGCACTCCCTTAAGGACTTTTTATAACGTATGTCTGTTGTTAATGAATTCCCTTAGCATTTGCTTGTTTGAAAAGGATCATGTTTCTCCTTCACTTACAACACTGAATTGGCTGGATATGAAATTCTTGGTTGGAATTTCTTTTCTTCAACAATGCTGAATATAGAACCAAAATCTCTTCTGGCTTGTAAGGTTTCTGCTGAAAGGTCCACTGTTAGCCTATAGAGTTCCCTTTGTAGGTGACCTGCCCTTTCATTCTAGCTGCCTTTAACATTTTTATTTTATTTCATTCTGATGAATATGTGTTTTGAGGATAATTATCTTGCATAAGTATCTTGCAAGCTTTCTCTGCATTTCATGGATTTGAATGTTGTCCCATCTAGTGAGGTTGGGGAAGTGGTATCCTCAAATGTGTTTTCCAAGTTGCTTGCTTTCTCTCCCTATCTTTCAGGGATGCCATTGAGTCATAGATTTGGTCTTTTTACATAATTTCATGTTTCTCAGAAGTTTTCTTTATTCTTCCCTTATTTTTCTCTGAATAAGTTATTTTGGAGAGACAGCCTTTGAGTGCTGAGATTTTGTCCTCAGCTTGGTCACTTTTGCTGTTAGTACTTGTGATTGTATTATGAAATTCTTAAAGTGAGTTCTTTCAGCTATGACAATTCAGCTCAGTTCTTTCTTAAAATGGCTATTTCATCTTTTAGCTATGTGCCCATGTTTCTTTTTTGAGGGGGTGTTCTGATTCATGGGTTCCCTCTGGCAGGGACCACAGATAGCACACAGGTCATATTCTTGCTGGCTCGGCTTAAATATGCTGTCCAAGTGTTTCCTGCTGTAAAATGGGGCTGCACAGAGTTAAGACAGAAGTGGGACCACTGAACTTGAAGTGGTAGCAGGTGTGGCCTATCTGGCTACCAGAGATGGTGGTAGATGAGTGTCCTGCCCTGATATCTGGCTGTTTCCAGGACAACAGGAGGTTACAGTCTTCAGCAAATTCAGGCAGAATTAAGACTGTTGTGCTGGAAGCTCCAGCATACTGGCTTTCTTGGCTATGACAGTATGAGAGGCAGGAATGGGTGGAGTTTCCCACTCTGCCATCTGAGTATTTCCCAGCACAATGGGAATGAGTGCATGCCAGCAACCAATATTCTGACTCTAAGGGAGTTCTAGAGGCTGGGAAGCCCAAGACCAAGATGCTGGCAGATTTGATGTCTGGTGAGGGTCTGCTTCCACAGTTCATAAATGGTGCATCCTCACTGTAGCCTCACATGGTAGAAAGGGTCCCAACTCTAGACTCTAACTTGAAATTTAACCTTCAATTTTGACAGCACTCAAAGGCTATCTCTCCAAAATAACTTAGTCATAGAAAAATAAAGAATAAAGAAAGCTTCTGAGAAATATGGAGTTTTTTAACCATGCAAATTCTATGTATTCAGGAATAAATAGTTTGAGAGCCAAAAATAGATTTGAAATCTCAGAGAAAGGTTTGTGGTTTTCTTTTCTTTTCTTTCACCTCTACCCAGAACTTAGAACTCACAGATATTTTTGTTTTCTATTTTCCTCTCTGTGGAAATTTTCATTTAATTTCAGCTATGTTTCTTCTTATTAAAGTTGCCAGTGATGTACTAGTAAAGATTTAGCGAATTACTGTCTGACAAGAAAAGGGTACCCTACTTTATAGCCTATGTGGATTTCTGTGGAGTAACTACTCTTACTATGGCTTATTTAAAGCCACATCTATGAAGTCATTCAGCTGGCAAAATTCCTGAAAATGTAACAATTGATTTTTACAAAGAAATACACTTCCTCATCTTGGCTTTATGTGGGTAAGACTCTAGGCCGTGTAGCCTGTAACAACCCCATGCCTTAGAACACAGTCCCCTCCTTCCTGCGAACTTCCACGTGTGGAACCTCTTGGTCACAGAGTTCTATACATGTACTTAAGGGATGTGGCAGTTTCAGTACTCATTTTCCTTCATGGACTGGTTTGTTTTGCTTTGTTCTTAGCCTCAAATGATTCTTACCTTTTCCATTATCTTTCATTGATTCAAAAGTCTGTGTGTCTATGTCTGTATGTGTGTGTTCTCATACCCCACATCCCCAGATGTTTTGTATCTGCAGGATTTCAGGATCTATAGCTGTCATATTGCCAGAAGTGGATGCCTGTAAATAATTTTATCATGAGACACTAATCCACCAAAATCCTCATCGGTTGGCATAGGCAATAATTTTAAAAGATTTTATTTACCAACTGAACACATGATAGTATCTATTAAAAATGTTTTCTTCCACATACATTACTAATGGATTATGTAAAGAATGCAAAACATATGCATTTAGCACCATTCTCATAATAAACACTTCAAAATGTCAAGCATCACTAACCATGAATAAGTTTATGATGTCTTCTATACATTGTCTGAAGGAGTGATTTTCAAACAGTTTTCAGACTTTCTCTATGAAAGTCTAATAGTCCCATGAATTTGTTTCAGGACACTGCAAGGAACAAATAGAATTGGTCAGGGGCCTATCCCAGCTTTCAACTTGTACTAGATTTATACTATTGGACATTAGTGTAAGATTTTTTTTGAAGACCAGTTTCATAGCTATTAAAAATTTGCAACTCCTTTTTTTATTTTGACTTTCATCTCTAGAGGCTCAAAGTTGTAACCTCTAATAGAATTTCGGGCATATTATAAATAAACTGTGTTCCTTAACTGGGTCTGTGTTTATTCGGGCTGCATGTTCTAATTTCCAATAACTCTATTTTACCAGACAGCATTGACACAGGAAGAGCTAGTGAATATTGTGTAGCTTCTGTCATGAAAAGGTTTCTGGGTCCTTCGAATGCTTGCAAATTGTATATAGTTGCCAGGGACAATTTGCTGCCTTATAAATCTTTTTAAAATCAGCTGAGAAATATTGTTAGTATCTCATTTTCCTCGTTACTTTCTTTGGAGTCTCTATCAAACAGATAAATCTTCAAAGGGAAGATAACATTAAAGGAAACCATTAGCAGAAGAAAAAGGGAATAAAGAAATCCACAAATGACCTCCTTGAAAGTCAGGAGCTGACCAAGCTCCTTTCAGCAGCCTAAGTAGCCACTTCTTTCTTACATACCTATAATGTGTATGTGTGTACTTGTGAGTATGTATGTGTGTGTTTCAAGGCTTTAGTATTTGATCTTCTAAATGAAGTCAAGTGTACAGTTTGAAAATGGGACTTGGAGGTAGTGAGTTAAATAAAAGCCTTTGTTATCTTGTCCCCCACAATATGTCTGGAATCCTGTTGTATTCTCAGCATAATTAGGAAGGGACGGGATAAAATCTTGTAATGTTTGCTTTTACCCAGCCTCTCTACGTGCTCACTTTTACTGACATGAACCCATCCAGGATTTTATTATGTTTTTTTCTCTCAAATGTTTAGTACAGCTAACATGCAACTTATACCAAAACTTAACCCCTTAGTTATTCAGTCTCATCAACTCAACATAGATAAGAAAATTATGCATCAAGGGCCAAACCCACTCAGATAAAAAGAACTAAATATACATGTCTCTGAATTTGAAAACCAGTTATAGCTTTGATGAATTTGTGCTTCCTAACAAGTTGGGGTGGGGGGTTGGAAAGCTATTATCATCTGAAAGGTGGAAATTTATTTATTTATTTTTTTAACCTTTGCAGTACAGATATTGGTCAATGACTAACACTCCCTAACACCTCATGGTGCCAGACCTGGGAGTCATCATTGCCTCTCCTTCTCTCTTTTTTCTCTTATTGATACAACTGGAAGCCCACTGTATTCTTAGCATAATTGGGAAGGGATAAAGCCTTGTAATGAAGGCTGTTTGCCAAAGCCCTCTTACTAATATCAATCCATCTAGGGTTTTATAGTGTTTTGTTTTTCCTCCAGTGAGTTTCCAGATGTCTCTCTGTCTATCTATCAATCAATCAATCATCTGGGGTTATAGTAAAAATTAAGTCAGGTGTATTCAAAAGTTATAGATAGATAATTTATTGGATTCATTATAAGGAATTGGTTCACATGATTATGGAGTTTGATATGGTTTGGCTTTCTGTCCCCACCCAAATCTCATCTCAAATTGTACTCTCATAATTCCCATGTGTTGTGGAGGGACCTGGTGGGAGAAAATTTGAATCATCCCCATACTGTTCTCATAGTAGTGATTCAGTCTCATGAGATCTGATGGCTTTATTAGGGATTTCTGATTTTGTATCTTTCTCATCTTCTCTTGCTTCAGCCATGTAAGAAGTGCCTTTTGCCTTCCATCATTATTCTGAGGCTTCCCAGCCAGGTGGAACTGTAAGTCCAATTAAACCTCTTTTGCTTCACAGTCTTGGGTATGTCTTTATCAGCAGCATTAAAATTGACTAATACAGTAAACTGGTACCAGTAGAGTAGAGTGTTGCTGAAAAGATACTTGAAAATGTGGAAGTGACTTTGGAACTGGGTAACAGGCAAAGGTTGGAACAGTTTAGAGGGCTCAGAGGCAGACAGGAAAATGTGGGAAAGTCTGGAACTTACTAGAGTCTTGTTGAATGGCTTTGACCAAAAGGTTGACAGTGATATGGACAATAAGGTCCAGGCTGAGGTGGTCTTAGATGGAGATGATGAACTTCTTGGGAACGGGGGCAAAGGTGATTCTTGTTATGTTTTAGCAAAGAGGCTGGTGGCATTTTGCCCCTGCCGTAGAGATTTGTGAAACCTTAAACTTGAAAGAAATGATTTAGAGTATCTAGAGGAAGAAATTTCTAAGTGTCACAGCATTCAAGATGTGAATTGGGTGCTGTTAAATGTATTCAGTTTTAAAAGGGAAGCAGAGCAGTACTGACAATGCAATAGAAAAGAAAACCCCGTTTTCTGAGAAGAAATTCAAGCTGGCTGCAGAAAGTTGCATAAGTAGCATGGAGCCTAATGTTAATCCCCAAGACAATGGGGAAAATGTCTCCAGGGCATGTCAGAGGTTTTCACAGCAACTGCCCCCAACCCCATCACAGGCCAGAGGCCTAGGAGAAAATGGTTTCATGGGCCAGGCCCAGGGTCTCTGTGCTATGTGCAGTCTAGAAACTTGGTGCTCTGCATTCCAGCAGCTCTAGCTGTGGCTGAAAGAGGCCAATGTAAAGCTGGGGCTGTGACTTCAGAGGGTGCAACCTTCAAGCATTGACAGCTTCCATGTGGTGTTGAGCCTGCCAGTGTACAGAAGTCAAGAATTGAGTCTTGGGAACGTCTGTCTAGATTTCAGAGGATGTATGGTAATGCCTGGAGAACCAGGCAGAATTATGGTGCAGGAGCAGCGCACTCATGGAGAACCTCTGCTAGGGCAGCACAGAAGGAGAATGTGGGGTTGAAGACCCCACACAGAGTCCCTACTAGGCACTGCCTAGTGGAGCTGTGAAAAGAGAACAACCATCCTCCAGACACCAGAATGGTAAATCCATTGAGAGTTTGCACCATTCTCTTGAAAAAGCCACAGATGCTCTACACCAGCCCAAGAAAGCAGCTAGGAGGAAGGCTGTATCCTGCAAAGCCACAGGGGCAGAGCTGCCCAAGACCATGGGAACCAACGTCTTCCATCAGTGTAACCTGAATGTAAGACATTGAGTCAAATATCATTTTGGAGCTTTAAAAGTTGACTGCCCTGCTGGATCTGGGATTTGCACGGTCCCTGTAACCCCTTTGTTTTGGTCAATTTCTCCCATTTAGAGCAGCAGTACTTACCCAATGCCTATACCCCCATGTATCTAGGAAGTAACTAGCTTGTTTTTAATTTTTCAGGCTCATAGGCAGAAGGGACTTGCTTTGTCACAGATGAGCCTTTGAACTATGGACTTTTGGGTTATGCTGAAATGAGGTACAACTTTTGGGGGCTTTCAGAAAGGCAATATTGGTTTTAAAATGTGAGGACATGAGATTTGGAGGGGCCAAGGGAAAGATGATATGGTTTGGCTCTGTGTCCCTACCCAAATCTCATCTTGAATTGTACTCCCGTAATTCCCACATGTTGTGTGAGGGACCTGGTGGGAGATAATTTGTATCATTGGGTCGGTTTCCCCCATACTTTTCTCATGGTAGTGATTTAGTTTCACAAGATCTGATGGTTTTATCAGGGGTTTCTGCTTTTGCAGCTTCCTCATTTTGTCTTACCACAGCCATGTAAGATTTGCCTTTTGGTTCCCACCATGATTCTGAGGCCTCCCAGTAATGTGGAACTGTATGTCCCATTAAACCTCTTTTTCTACCCAATCTTGGATATGTCTTTATCAGCAGCATGAAATTGGACTAATACAGAGGCCGAAAAGTCCTACAGTCTGCCACCAGCAGGCTAGACACCAGGGGAGCCAGTGGTATAGTGCCAGTCCTAATCCAAAGGCTTGAAAACCAGGAGGGCTGATGATATAAGGTCGGGTCTGAATTAAGGGGAAAAACAATGTCTCAGGTTGAAGACAGCAAGGATAAAGAATTCTTTGTTTCTCCACAGTTTGGTTCTATTTAAACCCTCAGTGGATTGGATGATGGCCACACATATTGGGTTGGGCAACCTGCTTTACTCAGTCTATGGACTCAAATGCTAATTTTATCCAGGACGCTCTCAAAGACACACTTAGAAATAATGTTTAACCAAGTATCTGGGCATCCCATGGCCCACCCAAGTTGACAAACAAAATTACCATCACAAAAATTATAAGGCACCAAATCATGTGCAATCTGCTTTCTAGTATCTGTCAAATTTATCTGTTCTCCCCTTCCATGGTGCCTCTTCTTTTAATTCAGTTCCCCAAATCCAATCCCTCTCTCTCTCTCCCTCTCTCTCTCTCTCTCTCTCTCTCTCTCTCTCTCTCTCTCTCTCTCCAGCTTCCTAAATTATATCCTTGCCCTCCTTTTGCTAATTTTCTACAGGCGGTGTTATGGAAAATCATGTGGCGCAATGGCAAGAGAGCTGGTCTGAATAAGCCTAACGAGTTGTTAGACCTTCTGCAAGTCGTTCCGGCTTTCCCAGTTTCCATGTTTCATTAAAGAAATCATTTATGTGCAAGTTTTGTCACATAAATGGCATAAATTTATCTCAAAGTTTTGCAAACTGTTGGAAACCATACAAACATAACATAAGAATGATATATTCCTGTATATACGTTAGTTTCTGTACTTTGAGAATGGAACCTGAAAGCACCTAGACACTGCTTTGGATGCAGAATTTGAATCTTCTCATTCTGTCTCTCAGAGTTAGGGACATGTGTTGCGTTATCTTGGAGAAGTTAAATTTTATTTGTTCTTTTAAGAAGAAAAGGTATATCACATATGCTCAGTGTACCAATTTTTATATATCACACATGCTCAGTATACCAATTTTTATAATCATCTTATGCAGGCATTATATTCTGGAGTAGCAGTAGTGCATGGTGCTTAAAAATATGGACTTGGAGGCAGACTTCCTGGCTTCAACTTAGTACTTGGCTGTGTGATTTTGGTTTAGTGTACTCCCTAAACCAAGTTTTAGTTTCTTTAATTTCAAAATAGAGGTAATATTTTCTTAGGGTTATCATAAAAATTAAGTAAGATCAGGTTTGTGCAATGGAAATTTATTTTAATAACTCAATTTGGTTTGTTTTTAAACCTCCCACTCCACCTGCTGTAAATTAATCTGAGCCCTTTGTAGACTGTCTCTCTACTCTCAGAGTTGTTCCAGGTTCTAGACCACTGCTCTTAACAGATATATAATGTAAGTTGTATGTGTAACTTCAAATTTTCTAGAAACCACATTTTAAAAACTTAGAAGAAACACATGAATTTAATTTTGAGGATATATTTTATTTAATTTAATATATTTAAATATGACTATTTCAACATATAATCAATATCAAAAATTAATGAAGAGCTTTACATTAATTGTTTTGTTTGAAGTGATTGAAGGCTGATGTGTATTTTATGTAACACATTACAATTCAGACTAGTCACATTTCACATGCTAAGTAGCACATTTGGCTCATGGCTAATGTATTGGATAGCAGAGTTCCAGACTCTCAGACAACAGCCAGTTGTTTGAGAAGGAGGGAGGGGTATGTGAGGTCACACTGGTTACTGCTGAGATCCTTCACTCCCCTGACCCATATTTCTCCTCCTGCTATGACTTTCTAATTAAATTAGGTGAAAGAAAAGCAAGACATACAGAGGAAAACAAAAATTACTATCTCAAAACATCATCTCATCACAGGTATTTACTTCAGTGCCTACTGTTACCAAACAAACGTGAGCAACTAACAAATGTTAATCATTATTATAACTAAAATCTTTTTCATATTATCATATTCTCATTTGAGGTTCATTTCCTCATTAATATGTTCCTCTGGACTTACAATGTATAGTTTTCCAGAATAAGATCAAGAAGCTCTTAATCTTGCATAACTCTGCTTTATAACCCAAGCCTTCTTTGTTTTCAGGAAACAACTGGAGAAAGAGACAATTTTATTAATGTAGTGAGTCACTGTTCATTAAAAAGTAAAGACATTAAAAATAGCATTCCTCACAAGCATGTCTTTTTTATTTTATTATTTTTTTATTGCATTTTAGGTTTTAAATACCTTTCAGAACTCTCTTTTAGGGGTTGTTCTGTGCTATTTTAAAATACACATTAGAATTAGAATAAAATGTATTTGATCTTGGAAACCCAGACCTCATGTTGTATTAGTCTTTTATACCTTTGCATTTCCCACATATCATTTGTGGAACTCTCAGTTAAGGGAGTGTTAAATGAATTAATTACACATAAGGCTCTTAGAAGTCTTTAGAGGCAGGACTATCACGTGGTAAGTACCCAATATCAATCAAGTGCTGCTCAGACACTAATTTTTTTTAATTACTGAAGTAATCCTACGAAGTAACTATTATTAAAATCCTTTTTTTTATAGATTAGAAAACTAAGTAGGGAAGAGTAAGTAAGTAGCCCCTGGGCACAGAGATGGTAAATGAAGCAGTGATCAAGCCCAGGTAGCCTGACTCTAAAACCCACCCTCTCCATTAGGCTCTACACTCTCCCTGGGCTCTGTGACCCAAAGTGTAAGAGGCAGAGAGCCTTTATCCATTCAATTCACTTGTAGGCTCTGAGTAGTAAATTTATATACTTTGATTAACGCAAATTGATGAAATCATTACTTGATATATGCAACTTCTTTACTGGGTATGCTCTCTTAAATAGAAGATGTATATATGCCATGCTTATATGGTGTATATATACCTAAATCACCTATGTTTATATTTATGCTCTTCCTTGCTGATGGAAAGGTCAGGAAACTCAATCTGACTTCCACTTGTAGTAATGATGACAAGGTCATTTGGATTAACCCTTTTGCACACTGGAATGGACAAACAGGAAGAAAATTAACAAACACAGACATTCACAGCAACCTGGATGAATTGCTCAGACACACATTGAGTAAAAAAAATGTCAGACACAAAATAATATAAACTGTATGATTCTACTTATATATAAACAAAACTAAACTATTGTGTTTAGGGATATATGTTTAGATGGGAAAACAGTAAAGGAAACAGATATTTGAATATCAGAAAAGTCAATGTTGTGATTCTCTTAAGTGAAAAAGAGGATATCATGAAAGCAGGGATCACAAGATGGGGCTTCTAAAGAGTGGCAACTTTCTATTTCTTGACTTGGGTAATGGTTACACAATTTTTTGCTTTATGATAGTTTTTTAAGCTGACATTTAAGTTTTCTCTATGTTTTATATTTAGCGATTAAAATGTCTGGAAAGGAACGTGAGGAAAGTAGCACAACCATTAAGTAGTGAAGAATCCCACATTAGTGATGACATCTATACAATGATGAATAATTGGAAAATATAAGTTAAGGTTTCTCCGTTGTGATTGGTCAGGAGGATCCCCTACAACAGAATCACTAAGGGGAATTTTAAAGGTGCAAGTTCCCATGATATCTTCAAACTAGATTCTTACTCATTTATTCACCATTATTTGTTTAGCCCCTGTTACGTGCCAGGCCCTGTAGGTGCCAAGGATACTGCAGTGAACAAAATGGACAAATCCTTAATCATGTGGAGCTTATAGTCTAATAGGACTTCAGAAGGAATCTCCATTTTTACAAGATTTCTGTGTGATTCTAAATATGAGAACAACTGGCCTATGCTCTAAGCTTTTCTTAAATCATTCCCATTCTGCACTTGAAAGAGTCATATGAATAAAGTTAGAATTTAAAGAAAACTAGTCTATCACAGCACAGAAATTTAAAGCACTTTTGTATAAGTTTTAAAAATTTAAGTTATAACAGTTTAATAATTTAAATAGAACCACCTTCAGGAACATATATACACAAACAAAAACTCAAGCAATTTAGTTGAATGGTATATTAAAATGCATCAAATTATTTGAAATCCTCCAAAATGGGCTCAAGTTCATGAATATGAAAAGATAAGTTTGAAGTACTATGGACAAAAGTAAAATAGAAAGTCAATACTTTGCATTGACCAATAAGATAACAGCCTGTGGATACATTAGCCCTTTACGAGAACACTTCTAAGAAACATTAGAATGCAAAATCATTAAAAAAGAACATAAATTGTTTCATGATACATTTACAGCTAACAATTTCTTTGGTTCACCAAGGCTTACTTGCTTTTACCTTAGAATACCAAACACAAGTTGAGGGTTCAGAATAAGAAATTAATTACTGGGTACAATGTATGTTATTTAGGTGAAGAATCCCTCCAAAATCCTGACTTGACCAATATGCATCTATGCATGTAACAAAATTACAAAATTGTGTAATTTTGTGCACAAAAAGGAAGTAAGTAAATAAAATCCTTAGCTAACACACTCAAAAGAAGAAAGACCTGTGGAGAAAATAATTCTTTTTCTAATCATCCTTCAAACCTTCAGGTCCCAGTTCACTGTCATTAATCTTTTGAGATTTAAAATTATTCCACCCCCACATTTTCAGTGTGTGTGTGTGTGTGTGTGTGTGTGTGTATTCTTAGCATAAATGGAACTTTGTAAGCAATTGATTCTTTAAAGATATAATAAAGAAATTTCCCTGGTTTTATTTTAATTCTTTCTCCATGACTCAGCCTGGAGAGCTAAAATTTTATTCAGGGGATACAAGAGCTTTTAAATTCCAAGTAGTATTCTTAATCTCTAACAAAGGAATCTAAGTGACATTAAAACAAATAAAACAACAATCATATCAACAAAACTCAACAAAGATATGAGATCACTTTATTTAAAAATATCTTGTTCACTGTAGACAACCTTCTTGATATAAAATGATAGAACTGAATATCTTCTAAGATCTGTAAACAAAACAGGAAAAAATTCCTGGCCTGATGATGCTTACATGCTACTGTATGTATATAAAGGGGAAGTGGGAAGGCAGTCATAAACAAAATTTAAAAGTAGTCGTTAGAAAGTGGAGAAACACTGTGTTTCATTAACAGAGTCAGGCTTCAGAAGGTGGATGATAAGAAACATCTAGGAGTTGAAGGAACTTGTTCTAACCCAATGCAAAGAAACTAAGAACTTTGAAAAAAGGTTTGATGAAATGCTAACAAGAATAGATAATATAGAGAGGAATATAAGTGAATTAATGGAGTTTAAAAATACAACACGAGAACTTCAAAGTATGCACAAGTTTTAACAGCCAAATTGATCAAGCAGAAGAAAGGATATCAGAGGTTGAAGACCAACTTAATGAAATAAAACGAGAAGACAAGAATAGAGTAAAAAGGATAAAAAGGAATGAGCAAAGTCTCCAAGAAATCTGGGACTATGTGAAAAGACCTAATCTACGTTTGATAGGTGTACCTGAATGCCACATAGAGAATGAATCCAAGCTGGAAAATACTCTTCAGGATATTATTCAGGAAAACTTTCCCAACCTAGCAAGGAAGAACAATATTCAACTCCAGGTAATATAGAGAACAACAAAGATATTCCTCAAGAAGAGCAACCCCAAGGCACATAATCGTCAGATTCACCAGGGTTGAAATGAAGGAGAAAAATACTAAGGGCAGCCAGAAAGAAAGGTCAGGTTACCCACAAAGGGAAGCCTATCAGACTCACAGCAGATCTCTCAGCAGAAACCCTACAAGCCAGAAGAGAGTGGGGACCAATATTTAACATCCTTAAAGAAAAGAACTTTCAACCCAGAATTTCACATCCAGCCAAGCTAAGCTTTACAATTGAAGGAAAAATAAAATCTTTTGTGAATAAGCAAGTACTCAGATTTCATTACCACCAGGCCTGCTTTACAAGAGCTTCTGAAAAAAGCATTACACATAGAAAGGAACAACCAGTATTAGCCTTTCTAAAAATATACCAAAAAGTAAAGAGTATCAACATAATGAAGAATTTATATCAACTAATGGGCAAAATAGCCAGCTAACATCAAATGGCAATAATTTTAAATTTAAATTGACTAAATCCCCCAATCAAAAGATACAGCCAAAACCCATCAGTATGCTGCATCCAGACCCATCTTACATGCAAGGAGACATAAAGAGTCAAAACAAATGGATGGAGAAAGATTTGTCAACCAAATGGAGAGCAATAAATAAATAAAAAGCAGAGATTGCAATTCTCACCTCTGATGGAATTTATTTTAAAGCAACAAAGATCAAAAGAGGACATAATGGTAAAAGGATCAACACAACAAGAGCTGACGATCCTGGATGTATACCCACCCAATACAGGACACGTAAGACTTGTAAAGAGACTTGGACTTCCACACAGTAGTAGTGGGAGATTTCAACATCAATATTAGATAGATCAATGAGATTAAAATTAATAAGGATATCCTGGACTTGAACTCAGATCTGGAACAAGTAAACTTAATAAACATTTATAGAACTCTCCACTTTACACACACAAGATATGCATTTTTATCAGTACCACATCACACCTACTCACAGGTTTAAATGAAATATTGGTTGGCCATTATTAAGCACAACTGATGGTATAAGGGAGGTTTTCAATACCCATTTTTAGACTGCATTCTACCCTGGGCAATTAAGCAACACTCCTGTTCTCTCTCCCTCCTCCTCTTCCTCTTTTTTCCTCTTCTTCATTCCATTTTTTTCTTTCTTTCTCTCTTTCTTTTCAAAAAAAAGAAAGTGAGGAAATTGGAGTATAATAATTGCTATAGACAAAATATAAATTGCTATATACAAAAATATTGCTATAGACAAAATATAGTAATTGCTATAGGCAAAAGTAAAGTAGGCTTTGAAAGAGGGAGTTGGGGGTAAGAATAAGATTTGAAATTTTACATAGATTGGTTAGAGAAGCCCTCAAGGAGAAACTGACATTTCAGTAAAAACCAAGAATATGATATAGCTCACTTTTTAGTTCAGACATTTTAAATTTCAATAAATTCTATAGCTTTTTCATTAAAAAAAAAAAAAAAAAAAAAACTTGTAAGAGGCGAGAGTGAACTGCTATGATGTCTGAGAGCAGAGCATTCCAGACATGGGTATTCAGATTTGCAAGAGCCAGGCCTGGGGTGGAAGCATGTACTTGGTCACTTCTGAGAACCTCAGCTGTAAAATGAATTATTAATTCACCCCACCCCCCACCCCTGAGTGATTTAAAGGTTATATGAGGTAATGGAGTTAGTCATGGATGTGAAATCTGACATAGAATTTCCAATTTTAAATTTACAAGTCATTTGCTTAATATCTAATATACACCAAATACTGAGCGTGTAACTACAAACAATAACTATTTTATGATATGAAGGAAATTATAATCTTATTTTAGAGACAATGGTCAAGGGGTAATTTTGATATGTGGTATTTTCTAAAATAAATTTAGGGTATTAAGGGACATACGCAGAGTAGAAAATATAATTCACATTTTTTGGATGAGAAACTGAAATATACAGATATTAATTGATGTGGCAAAGGATGGTGGATGTGTTTTGAACCCTGGTTTTCTGACTTGTGCTTACATCAAATCCTTCTAGTATAATCATCTCCTTGGCTAGCAGGTGCAAACAAATGAAGCCTAGAACCAAATTCATTATTCCTCATTGCTCCTGCTACCATTTTATCTGCTGCAGCCTCACTCTGAGGCTGATTGGGAAAGAAACATAGCCAACTACCTGTTAGATAGGCCTTTAATCTGGGAACTTAAGATGAGCTTTCCTCCCCAGATCCTGCAGAGCCCAGGGGTGTAGCTTAAAGTTGTCTCTGGGTTTTGAGCAGGAGCGGGATGGATAGAGCAGTTAGGATGTGGGCAACGGAAATAATCACAGCTTTCACCTATGTTTTCACATGTTTTCCCTTTTGATGCTTGCAACAGTCTTGCTAATTAAGCAAGAGTTGTTAGTTCTATTGTTTAAAAACCTTGCTTAAAGACTATAAGCACTTTGCTCAAGGTCTTATAGTTAGGGAAGTGGGAGAAACAGAACTGAAACCCAGATTTCTATCTCCAACTCCATTGTTCTTTCGATGATCCGTTTGCATTGGAATGGAGGGAGCTAAGGAATAGGATATTGAGGACTCTGGGTCTAGATTCCTTCAAAGGTGAAATGGAAGGGGAGGAGCCATGGGGTGGATGATATCTAGGGTGCCTTTGCATAGGCTGTAACTTCTGCTGGAATGCCCTCCTCACTCCTCTTCCTCTACAAAGGGACACTAATGCTTCTCATAGAAAGTAAGCTGTACATTTTGGAGCAGTTTCAGATTTATAGAGTTGTTGAAAGACAGCTCAGAGAGTTCCCATGTACTCACATCCAATTTCCCCTATTATTAAGATCTCATGTTAGTATGGTGCATTTGTCACAATTCATAAACAAATATTAATAACTTTTATTAACTAAAGTCCATCTTTTATCAAGGCCTTCTCATTGTTTCCTGGTATTCTTTTTCTGTTCCAAGTTCCTTTCCAGGATACCACATTACATTTAACAGTTATATTTCCATAGGCTCCTGTTGATTGTTAGTTTCTCTGACTTTCCTAATTTTCAATGACCTTGGCAGTTTTGAGGATTATAGTCAGGCATTTTATAGAACTCCCTTTCATTAAGATTTGGCTGATGGTTTTCTCATAATTAGGTGGGGATTATGTATTTTTGGAAAAAAGTCAACAGAGGTAGAGCACTATTCTAGTCACATCAAGGGTATATGCTACCAATATGGCTTATCACTTTTGATGTTAACACTGATCAGAAACAAACCAACAAAAACAATAACCTTTATGTATATTCCCAAGTCTGTCTGTCTGTTTCACTTTCTGTTTTTCCTCTCTCTTCTCTGATGTCATTGGAAAAACTAAGCCAGGTGTGGTAACCAGTACCTGAAGTTACATCTATTCTAGAGGTTGAAATGGGAGAATCACTTGAGCCCAGGAGTTGGAGGCTGCAGTGAGCTATAATTTTGCCACTACACTCCAGCCTGGATGACAAAGCAAAATAAAAAAAAAAAAGTATATGAAAGAATTATATCATTGGAAAACTTAGAAAAAATGAAAATTGGATGAGACGTAATGGGAAAAAAAATATTTCAAAAGAAGGTTGTTTTTAAAATTGCATCAGAAAAGTTCAGAAAGGTAATTTATGCAGATCTATGCACACAAATCGACAGAATTGATGGGGAAAATAATTTCTGTTTTTTATCCCCGAGTATACTTCACATGTGTTTACCTCAAAAATAGTGTGTCAAATAACTAAAGGCAGATTTAAGAACTTAAGAAGAAAAGAAATTTTCAGTTGAAATCTAAGGACGAGAATAATTACACATCATTCAGTAAAATAAGGATGGAATTGATCCTCTCCTGAGGATTAGTCAAGGGCTTTTCCAACCAGCCTTCTAAATTTCATACGGAGTTTGTTTGTTGCTCCTATTTTCTTTTTCCATTACAAATCTACTTCTATGGAAAATTCAACTTAATACTGACTTTTCTATTTGTAATGAAATTTAAGTGAGTTCCTAAATAAGGGGGAAAATAGCTGAAATTAAGCTTCTTTTACACTGTTCATGAGTCATTCATAATGCATTTGGGAATCAGAATTTTCCCAAATTTCACCACATATTATAAATGTCTATTTCCATTGCATTGAGATTTTCTTAAATGGCTATAACCATAACATAATTATTTGGCAGAAGACAAATAAATATGTGGACATTAATATCAAAGTATAACTATATCTGATTGAACTTAAGTCTCAATAAACATTTGTGCCATCTACACTAGTCTTTACAATGTTAAAAAACTCAAGAGTGTTTTAATTTTTTCAACACTTACGGTCCTGACAGAGTTTGCTCAAGATTGTAACATCCTAGGTTGAAAAGGAAACTTAAAAGGCAGTTTGGGGCTGGGCGCAGTTGTTCATGACTGAAATCCCAGCATTTTGGGAGGCCGAGTGGGGCAAGTCACTTGAGGTCAGGAGTTCGAGACCTGCTTGGTAGCATGATGAAACTTCATCTCTACTAAAAACACAACAATTAGCAGGGTGTGGTGGCAGATGCCTGCAATCCCAGCTACTCTGGAGCGTGATACAGGAGAATCACTTGAACCCTGGAGGAGGAGGTTGCAGTGAGCTGAGGTCACACCACTGTACACCAGCCTGGGTAACAGAGCCAGATTCTGTCTCAAAAAAAAAAGTCAGTTTGGCTTGATGGAAGGTGCAGAATAATCAGATCCTGCCCCTACATATAATGAGGGTAATGACCTGGAGTTACTCAATTAGGAGCTATAGAATTTCTTTCTCTAAACTGACAGATAGTACTAGGTGGTCTCTAAGGCCTCATTCTGTCTCTATATAGTTTTACTACAGAGCATCGTTTCTAAACACATAATGCCAAAATCATAAACTGTTCATGAAACATCTTTCTATAAAGATTTCTGGGCACATGTTCTCAGAAATTCCCTGTATAAAACTAAATTATCTTCTTTTGTTGATAAATTAATAGTTTATTATGTTGATATTGCCACAATAATGTTGAATTAAATTTGGCTTGTGCCTATGAAGATATTTATCTATTCAGAGTGATGATTTTTTTTTAAAAAAAATGACTTACTGACAATATGATTATTCCTACTCAAAATAAAAATGAAATTAAAAAATCAACCTTCCTAATTATTCCTTTTTGTGAAATAATTTGGTTGTTCACATTATTTGGAAAGTTGAGCACCATGTGAAATTGCCTATGAGTGCACAATTTTCTTTGTAGGTAATATAAATTCATAGGCTATTTCAAGATTGGCATACTCATAGTTACTCATTTGAGAGAATAGAGTTGTGCATACTTGCACATCATAGAAAAACACCCACATGTACAAAGACTGCATTTTACCAAGACCTGAAATGCAAAAATAAAAGAGCTAGAATGCCTTCTTACCACCTCCACCCTAACCACACCTTCCTGCCCCAAGCCTATTGCCCAAACCTGGCTATGCCCCAACCACCACCTCTTTGAAATTTGAAAAGAGGTGGAGAGGAAAAGATGAGTGAAAGAATAAGGTCAGAAAGAGAAACTTGTGAAAATAGATGAAGTACAGGAAATTCAGTTGGGTGGGGCTTTCTGGAGTGAATTGTAGAAAGCAATTAAGACAGTAAAAATAAATAAGATTTTGGTCATTCTCATATTTCCTCTGCTATGCTGAAAAACTAAATGAAGGTTGAACAACTCAGTTGAATTAGATGAATAAGAATTGTTTTAATGACATTCAATACATTTTTGCAACAACCAATGGAAATTCAAAAAATTCAATGAAATGCTTTGCTATGATCATTTGGTTTGGACCTCTTAAAATAGATAACAGTCAACTTAATTTTCTTCTCCTTATACCTCCCAGATCATGCTTTGTCTCTACAGAAAGATCAATAGTTCATTTCCATAGTGGCCTCTCTTGGAACTATCTTAATTCTTCCTTCTTTTTCCCTCTGACTCTTTGGACTTTGCTCTTAGAGTGTAAGTTTGCTGAGTCTTTTTAGCCCTCATATCTGCTTTGAAACCATGCAGCCTACTGAGTCCTTTGAAAGAACAAGTAAGTTCAAAGACGTAACCCAAGAAAAATCAGTAAAAAGGAAGGGGAGGTGATATTTAAAGAAAGCACTTGTGTCAGGATGTAGCCAATCAGGACTCCAGTAATCCGATAAACTTGTGTAGACAGGGAAGTTGGAGATGCTAATTTGACAGCTGAGAGTTGGGGAAATGTGCTGATGCTGTATAGTTCCTGAGAAGATCAAGCAAAATGAGGATTATACAGGTGTAGAGCAAAGCCAATTGCCACTCCACTATTAAGGCCAAAATGTGTTGATCTGTAGGGTCAACATATTTTACATCTATAAAGAATCTATGAAGCAAAAATTTGAGCCACTTATTTGGTTTTAGTCACTTTTAAGCAGATTAACCATAGTAATTAAATTCTCAAAACCATAGCTTGGTTTGCAACTTCATCCTTCCCTGGATACAAATATGGCCCATTTCTTCGTTTTCCATTCTGAAAAGTAAAGAAAACCTTAGGCAAGGAAGAACTTGTAGCTTGCCAAAAGCACATAGTCCTAGGGCATTTATAATTAATAATCAACTTGCAATTTCTGTAAGAACAAAAAGGGTCATCTATTACATTAGCATGTACAAACAATTTGGTTTATTAAATCTGAGCTGAGCCAACATGTTTGTCATACATCAGCAGCCTTGTCAGCATTGCAGAAGTAAAAAGTGAAAAATTTACCAGCATCAGCATTGATTCACTCACCCTTCATGTGGTGATTAAATTAATGAGTATCTCTACCAAAAGAATCAGAGTTAGAGGTTACAACAGATGAAAAACATCTCAGTTGAAAATGGCTGGAAAGGAATTTGATTTAATTTTATTACAACAAACACTGAAAATTTACATATGTAATGCATTGTAGTGGCAACAGGCATCTAGAGTGAATAATATCTTCCTTTAAGCAATTTATGGAAGAAACAGTCACATATGTGACTATAATTTGAGGTATTGAAATAAAGGTTAGATGGAGGCACATCATGACAAGTCAGGAGAGAATCAGTTCCTGAGTCACAAATAAGTGTGAATGATAATCATGTCTCCACTATTTTTTATCAGTTTGAACCTGGGTGAGATACTGAAACTCTTGAAACCTCATCTTCCTTATCTTTAAAATGGAGCTTATGAGAATTGGTTTATGTGGTTGTTATAAAGATTAAAATGGATAGTACACATACAGTGTTAAGTTAATCCCAGAACTAGAATTACAGAAAGAGGCTCGGATCCAGACCCCAAGAGAGGGTTCTTGGATCTCATGCAAGAAAGGATTTAGTGTGAGTCTGCAGGATAAAGAGAAAGTAAGTTTATTAAGTAAAGGAATGAAAGAATGGCTACTCCATAGACAGAGCAGCCCTGAGGGATGCTGGGTGCCAATTTTTATGGTTATTTCTTGATTATATGCTAAACAAGGGGTGAATTATTCATGCCTCCTGTTTTAGGACTTATAACATAATTTCTTGACATTGCCAGGGCGTTGAGATAAACTGTCATGGAGCTGGTGGGAGTGCTGAAGTGAGGATGACAAGAGATCACTCTCGTTACCATCTTGGTTTCAGTGGGCTTTAGCAGGCTTTTTATTTTTTTTACTGCAAACTGTTCTATCAGCAAAGTCTTTATAACCTGTATCTTGTGCCAACATCCTATCTCATCCTGTGACTTATAATGCCTTAACCATCTGGAAATACAGCCCTGTAGGTATCAGCCCCATTTTACCCAGCCCCTGTTAAAGATGGACTTGCTCTGGTTCACATGCCTCTGACAATTTATTCTGATGAAAAAAATCAGAGAAGGTATCACAGTGGAAGCTATAAAATTTTAATTTACAGGACAAAATCAGTAGAGGCACAAAGTTACTGAAGAAAGTGGATGTTTGAGCAGTGTGGAATAGTCTAATGTGACTGAACTAGAGAACACAGAAAGAAGGTTTGAAACCCCAGAGCACAGAGATGTAAGTAGCGGTAAGACAAGTGAAAAAGAAAGAAAGAAAAAAAAACAGGAAATATTACTTGTATAAGACAATGTTGAAGAGATGGAGTAACATGATTTGCCATATTTTAGAAATATAGATAACCATGTAAAGGGTGACTAACTGTGAACACTTAGGAGACTACTAAATAGACTTTGCAAATGATAATGAAGAAATACAAATACAAATAACGGTACAAACAGTTATAAGAAATGATTCTGTGATAGAATTTACAAAAAAAAAAAGTCAGTCTCATTTTTGGGGGAACAAATCTTTTAAGATTTATACCTGCCCCACCAAGACTTTTTCCTTTCTTAAGAATTAGAGATTACTAATAATATTATTCATTATTACAGTTGACTATGAGTTTTAACAAGATAGTTCTGAGGTAATAGTATCCTTGCTCATAAATTGTTATCTGGGCTTAAAATTTAATAATATTTACATAAAGTCTGTGTCTGCAGTTGTTTGGTCTTAGGGCAGTGGTCTTAGACTAGGATATATCAAAATCACCTGGAGGGCTTGTTAAAACTGACTGCTATGTGTATGTCCAGAGTTTTTTATTTGATAGATCAGGGGTGATACACAAAAATATGCTGGTCTAGAGACAATACTTTGAGAACCACTGATTTAGCATATACTATATAAAAGCTTGTCCCATTGATTAAGGCCTAGTGGGTTTCCTCTGGGCAAAGGCTAATTAAATTGTCCACAGGGGAAAATGGGAAAGGTATTTGCCCCAATCTTAAATAAGCCATATTAATTCCAGGCTTAGGAACATAGGAAAACTAGGACAATTAAAAGATTCCTCAGTAAAGTTTCCACATTTTTATGTAGATAATATGTAATTATTTGGGGGGATACAGTATTAGATGGAATAAAATTTCATGTGAAATTCTTTAACTGGACTTTGTCTTGTACTTGGAAATTTCCACTCATTGCAAAGAAAATAATAAGAGAATGGTTTACCATCAAAGAAAAAAGACATATGAAGAATAAGGAGGAGAGGAGGAGGAGAAACAAAATAGAGTAAATATTCCTAATTTTCTATTTCTTAAAACAACTGAATATTGTGTGTGGGATAGAAATATGTGTCAGAGATGACTGCCAGGTTTTGTCTTGGATGACTGGTGAACATCGCCATCAACCAAGATAGGAAACCCTAAAAGGGGAACAGATCTTGCCAGAAAGATAATGAAATTATATTTACATCATCACAGAGATTTTCAACTAGAGATCTTCCACCAACAATATAGATTTGGTGCTTAGAAATAAAATCAAGTTTGGGAAAATAAAGGAATCTTGGTCTTAATTTGCTAAGAAAAGTATATACTATTTTAGTTTTTTTCCCCCCCAAAATTAAGTGTAGAAAGTGTTTGGATACCTTGAAGTATAAAAACTTTATTGTTATATGTCCAAGTCCACTTTCTACTTCTCTAACAGAATGCCACAGAGTGGATAATTTGTAAAGAAAAGTTAATTAGACTTATGGTTCTGGAGTCTGGGAAGTCCAAGAGCATGGTGCTGGTAACTAGTGAGTGTCATCTCATGGTAGAAGAGTGGAGGGCAAGACAGCAGGGATGAGAGAGAGCATGAGAAGCCAGCCTTGCTTTTATAACAACCAGTTCTCATGATAACTGATCCACTTTTATGATAAATGATCCACTTTTATGATAACTACATTAATCCATTCATAAAGGCTTCACCCTCATGACCCAGTATCTGTTATTAGGCTGGTCTTTTTGCATTGTTACATTAAAGATTAAGTTTCCAACATATGAATTTTCAGAGACACATTCAAACCATATTATTAGGGCAATATTATGGACATTTAAGGACAATCTCTAAGCTTTGGAAGTCTTCAGCATTGTCAACATTGATGGTTTACCATGAAATGACAGTTGAAGCTAATATCAGAGAAAGAAAAATTGGACTAAGTAAACTGATCCCCATTGTGATAT